TTAATTATCAGGTTGAAAACTTTGCTTTTAGGAGCTGCTTGTTTCGACTGTTAACTGTAATCTACATGTTGAACGCATTATGTGAGTTAGTTGGTTGATCTCAATCAGGGTGTGGGTGTAATCAAGAAATATCACGGTGAAGGACAGGAAGGGGTTTCACATATAGCACCTTTCTGAGAGTTGAAAACGGGTCTTCAGAGTAACGCACACAAATATGCCATCCGCCCGCATTAGGAATTTTGGAATGACGTTATAATGATCATCACATGAGTGTACACCTGTGTGAAATACGCAATACAGTTCACAAATATATACAACCCTTGATTCTCATTGCTGAAAAGTCATGTCCTTCTCAGTAATAATACTTATTTTGATTAATGCTTCTTCATTCACTGTGGATGACAACATTGCTCTATCAACAGATAACCCGTAGATGCATGTAATAATGGCTACCGAAATTAGAATATTGTATATGTTTGATATCAACAGCTTATCAAACTTGATGAAATACATTTTCATATCTTTCATAATGAAGTAAAAGACACTCTAACCACAGTGTTGGGATCACATAAATGACCCTTCTCTTTCGTGCCGACGTCCGTAGATAAAACAGCAATGGTCACCATACATTAAGGTGTTTCCGAGTGGCAATAGGTTTCTGACAGGCTAGTTGGGATATTTCGAATAGTAATTTCGGGGTAATATTATTTCAACATAAGTAAAACTTTAAATAACTAAGAACCGGGTTCTAACACCGTTCTGAAACAAGGGTTCTTCACTAATGATCACGTGACAATGAGAGTCTACACCATATGATAGTATGTCCTCATCGTACAACTGCTCAATGATTCGTTTCAAACTGGTTAAGCGATTTACAAATATTTGGGATTTCCTCCAGCATTACCCTGGCATGCAGTGATGTGACTGGAATAGTAATAAAAGTGTAATTAAAATCGCTTTCACATACAACTGTAAAAAACTATAATTTGATGACATGTGTATTTGAGATTACTCTTTCTTAGTAAAGTACATATTATAGTACTGAAGGTAGATCACCTTACCAGGGACCATGGGACTTACAGTGCCTTTGCTACCTGCATGGACCCTAGTTGGATTAACACCATCCCTTCAGCCGCTGGCGATTGTAGGACAAGTTTAGCCGAAATTTAAAGGAACAAATATACTACGTTTAAAAATCGGGTAGGCAAAAATTAAACTTTGAAAGTTTTGGGACTTACGTACCGACCTGATTTGAAGGTCAACACATGCTTGCCATTTTCTAACGGAGATGGAGCAACATTCTTCTTTTCTGAATTTAAAAAAAATACATTTGAATGTGCTTTAAATTCACAGCAACCACCGTTGATTTGACGACAGCAACGATATCACGAGACACATAATACAAGTATATATGGATAGCTTCTGTAATTCTAGAGCACGATTAAATCTAAAGCACAACTTCTAAAATGCCACTCAAAAAAAAACCCAACAACACGAGACACATTTTGATTGTATATTCACAGCCATTATATGTTCAGTTTATATAGAAAAAATTCCTTCCAAAGAATTATTGGAAACTAGTATATATTTTGTGACAACACATAGCCTGCACCCACCCATTACTTAGCTGTGACGTCCTTTGTATCAGTAGTGTTGCGTTATAACGGCGGTTAAACCAAACTATATAATGTTTGCTTCAACTTCGTGATCGGTGTCTACTAAATATTTGCTTTTGAAGCTTTTGTGCTACATTCATCTTACAGATATGTAAATAAAGCATAGTGAAGTATCAAACACAGCTTGAGTACAACGAATCGGTGAGTGAGTGAGTATGGTTTTACGCCGCTTTTAGTAATATACCAGCAATATCACCGGGGGTACACCAGAAATAGCCTTCACACATGGTACCCATGCAAGAAATCGAACTCGTGTTTTCAGCATGACGAGCGGGCGCTTTCACCATTAGGCTATCCCATCACCCCTTGTTTAGACGACCGATCCTCTCAAAAGAGGAGAAGAATACGTTCACCTACCAGAGTATTAATACTGTAAAAATTCAATAAAGCAAAGTTATTTTGTCGAGTATATAAGATGCGTTTAGTTTGAAACGTATGTATATCGCGTAATTCTTCAAATTATTTCACACTGTCCAATAGTAACTATTTCAGAGAAAAAATCAACATGTTTATCGCCTTTAGACCGGAGGCAAGTAGACGGCAAGATGACATAATCCATAAATCAAGGTCTTGTCGGCTACAAAATTAATGTAAACTGTCAACTGTATAAGGAAATATATTTCTTAAACACGATAAGGCAAAATAAAGCATTTTCAAACAGAAAAAACAACGTTATAATCTTACATGTATCCTGAGGTAACTAGTATTGCCAGAACAACTTGTTTACATATACCTTTAGACAAGCATATAGTGTCACACATTAGCATGTTCCATGCCCTTCCCCGTTAACAAGAGTATAAGATGAAACTCTGTGCACCGACGGATGACACTTCAGGATGCACACAACTAATGTGATGCGCTGTGTACGATGTGAAGGCGTTTATCTAATTAAATGACAAACTGCCCTTCCGGTTAAAAGAGTAATTCAACCAGAGTTAAGGTTAACCACACGGGCAATAGAAAGTATCCGCCTGTGTTGAAGGTGGCTAAACATTAAACAAACTATGAATGGTTTTGAATACACATGTTCATTTAGAAAGTGGACAAATGTAACATATGTTATATTTGGGATTACACGTTCTTGGTAAGGTACAGATTTTAGTATTTTTGTTCGGTTGAGACCCATCTGGGATTCGAACCCACACCTTCAGAGTCAGGCATCTATATGCCAGCACACAAAGTCAGCCGCCTAACCCGCTCAGCCACCGCGGCTTCCACTAGTTTACTAAGAAAGTGTAATCCCAAATATAACATATGTTACATTTGACCACTTTCGAAATGGCATTGTGTATTCATAGCTTTCGGTCGTGGGAGCCGTACCAATTTACACTTATCAGAGGGGTACACAAGGTCCGCAGTCTAGACTACAAGTTGCCCGACTTCCATTTTGTTGAAGCCGCGGTTGCTGTGCGGGTTAGACGGCTGACTTTGTGTGCTAACGATTGTGATGCATTTCTTTATCATTATCACAATAATTCTGAAATTCCAACCAAATATGATGTCCACGTTCTAGTAGCTGGAATGAGTTTCGACCCTTTGTAGTGGCAGAACTCGATGGTCCTGCTGTTGAATCTTAAATTTGCCCTGATTACGACCGTTGGTTGCCAACGGGCCAGAAGTAGTGTCACCAACGTGATATTACACATGAATTAACTAATACCTGAAGAATCTCACTCCCCTGTGTAAGGAGGAACTGAATAAATCGGTTGTTAGAATTAGTGGTTGATGGCATGTCATGGTACTGCATTGACCGTTGCTCTCATTATCAATAACTCGATTGTGTAATCCAGACTTTTTTAACTTGCTGCCATCATATAGCCATAACACAGCTTAGTTCTGCGCTAAACTATAAACAAACACTCGTCAGTTAACAGTATATTGATTGTGAGCCTTTATGCTTTGTTTAATTTACTCTGAAGGCATTTCTTTGTTGTTTTCCATTTTGACGTTATTGAATGTCTCCTTCAACGTTGGTGGTTCGTTTCAAACAGCCTTCGTTGTGTTTTTCCGGAAATTGAGAGGGATTCAAGAGATTTTGTTCTCAGCAAGCAGCAATAAATTACTTATTGTACCAGATCACTTCCAACCCTTCCCCTGTGAATGTATTGTGACTGATACAAACAGGCGCCGTTTGATACGAAGCGCCGATGTACTGCAAGGTTATGGACAAAAGAGGGGCAGTGGGTACGAAGAATGATTGCATGCCACAGAGGTTGAAATTGTTGAGGAGGCGGCTACAAAGGCGAAAGATGAGGTAGGACGTTATCCAGTGATGTCATTACAGTGTGTAGGTTCTGTAGAGTAATCGTGCGTGTGATAGGCAGGGTGAGTGGCATCCGACTTAATAATCGTATACTTGGGATTGGTTTATTGAATTGCTCTTTACTTCGGAAAATACGGTTAAGATGCTGAAAGCTTTGAGAAGGAAGATAACACTTATGGACAGTATTTTGAAATTCCTTGTCGAAAATAAGGTATTGCAAGTATGTTATTCAAGTCAACATTGATAAAGTAGTATAAGACAAAATATTATCGATGTCAACTTCTTAATGTGTACACAACGTTTCTGAGATTTCCTTCCCCCTTCGTGAGGTGAATGACGTCAACTGACGAAGGGCAAAGACAAGCCCACACACTCTGTGTACTTGACTACCAACTTCTATATGCCTCTCCAGAACTTGATAACTTAAAGCCCTCATGTAACAGTCAAGTTACATCAGGTCTGGACATGGGGAATGAAGCTAGAAACGACTGTGATTGCTATGGACCTGGACATTTGCCCGACATCTTCAGGGCATGCTCTGAAAAAACGGATCTTGGGATCCAGGGATATTCCTTGTGCAATTGCTACAGTTTAGTACAGATGGTGCACACGACATTCACGTTCCCACAGATGTTCATGGAGATATTGGTCGAGGCTTTTAGCAAGTCAAAGGAGCATTGAATCATTGAAACGTCCAGTCTGTGAAAGGGTATTATTCTCATCCTTCAAGACAAATGAGGAAGCTGATACCAGCCTTCACCATCGCCACATGATCCCCAGTATATCACTTGTTTCGTGCTGTTTTCAACACTAATTGCTTCCTTAATCGTTGGTACAACACGACCAGGCAATCTGTATATGTATATACAGTGGAAACGGAACGTCGATTCTTCGGTGGTCATATTGTGACGCCAGTGATGCCATCTGCCAGGTGCCATGACGCCATACCTGTTTCATTCTTACACAAGGGTATTGTGGGTAGTCTAGTTGTTACAACGTTTGCTCGTCACGCCGAAGACCTCGGTACGATTCCCCATATGCCCATAATGGATACGATGTCCGAAGCCAATCACTTGTGTCTCCCGCCACAATATTGCTCGAATATTGCTAAAAATGACGTAAACCATACTCACTCACTCACTCACTCACACAGAAGTTGTCGTGATGCTAATCTCTCGGCAACGATACTTAATCCTGCAGACTCTAACCGATCACACTCAGTATCATCCCTACAAGGCACGTCGGTGAAGGTCGTCAATCTAAATCTCTCAGTTGAAATTCTGCGTCTTAAAGGGCAAGTTTACACGAAAATTAACCTTTTGTCTTTCACTTTTTCATCATAAAAAAGTGTTTGTCAAGTAGTTTCATAGCCTAAACAGTACAACCGTGGCTAGTAAGAATAGTGAATTTTCAAGGGGTCATTTTGGAAATATATCGATTGTTAAGTTATAATATAATTTTAAATCATCCACGATTACGGCCCGATAAAACATTTCATCATATTAGCAGCTTATTGATGAAACCCGTGTCATGCCGACAATATCTTATTCTCATCTATTTTTGTAATCTTTTGCTTGCTTTCTACGTACATTCAAATTTCGGGCTAGTGAATTATTTTGTGCTCTAGGAACTTTTAGGCATAGCTAGCCCGACTGGCTAGCAAAATGTGGACACTATTTCGCACACTGCATATTGCATCTATGAGAGAAGCGGGCCCTTCCCTGTGAAATGACAAGCGAACGCCTTAAACCACAAAGCTACCCCATCGACTGTCTACAATAATGTATTCAGTTTTGCTGCTATAGAGATTCACCAGTTCCATGTAATCATGCATGCGCTGATTTGATCATTTTGATGAATTAGATAGATAATTTCAGAAAGTTACTTTGTGTAAATGTCCGTCAAACAAATGTGTTCCTCTGAAAAAGGTTAATTTAAAAAATATCCAATTATAAAAATCATGACTGTTGGTCGCGTTTTGCCCCATTTTATTCAGAGCGAATACTGCGTCCCACTCCCAGCACACCATTTGTTTGATTAGGTTTTCGCAAACGGATTCATTTCTGTGAAAAAGACAGTTTCCTGAATCAAGTTCCCTCGAAAAAGCGTTCCAAAATGTGACAAATGTAATTCAAGGTTTAAAAAGAAACCATTCAAAACATCAATTTCATCCTACCATAACAGCGGTTTGATGGTTTTCGAGGTTTTCGTTGGTGTCATGGTAACCTGACCACTTGACCTGACCTCGACTCTTGATCTGAAACACAGCTTGTTCAGAGATGTGTACAACATTCACAAGGAATAACAATCTCAATCTGTTATACTTCAGCACGGCCACTCATGATGAAATTGAAAAAAATAATAAAACGGCTTCAGGTTTTATTTCTTGTACAATGTTCACCGCAACCTTCTTAATTAATGCCAACCTGTTTAGTCCGAAAAAAACACTTTTTCTGATTTATTCGGGTGAACTAAACTGACGTACAAAAGAAAGTACACAGCGTAATATTTAGAATAGTGATTTGATTGCGACTCACAAGTCACAAACATTGTGTACGAGTTGGAATAACACCATAGATATCCCACCCAATTGGAACATTGCTAGCAAAATATTTACGTTGTTTTAATAGTCTCAAAACACCGTGTGTACTTTCTTTTGTACATCAGTATATTTGCCAACATTCCCGATATTGACAATTTGGGTAAGGAACACAAACACGAACACGAACACGCACGTACGCACACACACACACGCAGACACACAGATAGAAACGTATGCCACCGTACCTGGCTACTATTCGTTCGAACCAAAATTTAATGTTCATGTCATTATTTGCATGCATATATCTTCTCTGTTCATCAGACTTAATGTCACTACATGTGTAGCTGTTACCCTTGTCATTTTTATTGCTTACATCTAGTTTGCGTAGAATTCTCACACGTGGCATTGGTATACATACCGCTTTAATTCCCTATGCAGAGTTGTGTAGACGGGCAATAAACAGAATTCGAATCTGCGATTCGTCTTATGGTTCTGGATTTCACAGCACCATGTCCGTACTCATGGTGAACAGTTCTATCCTATATTGCTCAGGGATTTCACTGACATTAAACTGATACGATTGTATGTGATTGAAATTGTGCTGCAAACAGCGCAGAAAACCAACTCACTTAGCGTCTGTGGTATTGACCAACCAAACCCTTTGTAACAGAACATGGTGGAAATACGCAGAACAGACTTATTGTCTTCTTGATTTTAAACGGATGCAGCTGTATCGCCATTTAATACACATGCAAATATGGATACCTCCAACCGAAGAGGTCGACAATAAGTAGGTTCAGTAAAGAAATAGGATCATTAAGTTCGATTATATATAGAGAACAGCTAGCGCTGAAGTTCAACTAATCAATAATAGTTTGTTTCTGTCAACAATTTTGATGCAGCATTTTCCTGTGCTAAATACGTGTAGTTCTGATTAATTCAATCCTTGTGGGTGTTCACGTGAACACAGGTGACAACGCCTTCGCCCCGCTGCATACAAAGACGACGGGAGGCCAAGTCGGAACGGGATCTTGCTGTGCTGCTTTACGTGTGTCCAGAATTGTCACAGGTTCGAATCCCTGAGTCACTTTGAATATGTTTCTGAGAACCATGGACATGAGCTTACATGAGGGTTTTCAGACTAAGTATCCAGGAGATTAGTAAGCGACGACTCTAACAGAGCCGACGATACGGATTGGTGACTTGATAAATTGCGTGTCATCGAAACCAGACGGCATCGCTAATGAAATCGATCAATGGAATGTCTTGGGTAGAGGCTGGACAATTACTGAATACATTAAATAAAGTACGTCAGTGCAAAATAACACCCAGTCTTGACAATTACAGTCAACCCTCACAAGCCTCGAAGGTCTCTCAGATCAGCTAGTCAGCAATGCTTAGATATTCCATTTGTCCGAACCACAACATACGGGGACAGAACATTTAGCAGAGCGGGTGCTGTACTCAGGAATGGATTACCTGAAAATGTCAGAAAATCGGAAAATATCAACAGTTTCCAATCTTGTCTCAAAACCATCCTCTTCAAACTCGCATTCGACTAAGCGCACATGAGCAGGACTCTGGATATGTTGCGCTATACAAATGTCTAATTTGATTGATTGATTGACAGCTCCCAAACTCAGATTCCGTTTGGTGTAAAGTAAAATAAGCTGTCAACATGACACGAGTCAGCTACGTAAAATCAGTCATAACACCAGGTGTTCGCAAAAATGGTAAGGAAGAACTGCCATGCCGGTGATACCCTCCATTCACGTAAAGTCACGCACGATAGGACAATGTAGACTACTCTGGCGAATCATATATAATGAATAGTCATAAAATGCATTTAATTTATTTCTTTAGGCATCATGTCCCTTTGTGCATGATTGAACATGTCACCATTTATATGAAACGTGTTTCAATGAAAACATAATAATCAATCGTTCACATCATTAGGGTGTGGATGTAGATTGTGAGGACATAGAGTACGTCTATAGTTTCAGACAGAATGTATGTCATCACACTACTGTCTGGTGGACTTTATGGTCCCCATGAAGTAGTGGTGTGTGATCCTGTTCATAGAGCTCAGGTCACAAATCAGTTGAAGTCAAGCAACGTCGGGCGCGGAGAGTGCCTGAGAGTTTCTAGGACTTCAGTCATGCCCCACAAGGAAGGACACGTGGTCTCACCTTAGGTAAGTGAGTTTGTTCAAAATTGCCTCTGTTCACCCAGCAGAAAATGGGTACCCGGTGGGATAAATCATGTGCATGACTATTAAGCTTCCAGCGCCTCACCGGCACCTTGGGTTATCCGGGGTAATAATATAATATCCAAAGAAAGAAACGCATAGGCGTTTTGTATTTGTAAAAATCTATCAATTACCTATTGTGTTCAAACAATCCTCAAAATATGTAACAAAAGTGTTGATAACACGATTTTACACAATTGCACAAGTGAAAAATCGACTTTACCTGAAAATGTTGATTTTGATGAGATTTCTTACAGTGATTTAAAAGGCATCACCACAACACAACAGAAAACAGTTGAAATTGTGCAGCAAAGAGCATGCACTGACTGGCTATAGAAATCCAGATTACTTTGGGAAATCGGCATTCGTTTTGAAGGAGTTCCAAGGTCAAATCACTACGCCACGTCTTGACGCTGCGACACGGAATATCGCCATTGAAAGAATGCACGCTTGAGATTACCAATCTTCTGTTGTTAGTCTGAGCACGATATCACGGCTTACAGTACGATAGAACCAAACAGGTATAACAAATGACCGTCCCCGTACAGGCAGACCTCGAGCCACCACTGTAGCCCAGGTCGGTACATCCGGGTACTACATTTGCGTGATCGTACTGCCACGGGTGAGAGCAGAGGAGCCAGGGTGCCTGGACTTCGGAGGATATCCGGGTAAATTGTAGGGAACAGGTTGAGAGAGATTGGACCGAGAGCCAGGAGATCCGACGTCGGGCCAGGGCTACGTCGTCACCATCGTGCTGAACGTATCCGTTATCTAAAATTGTCAACTTAGTTGTACAGACATTTCCTTCTTCTAAACTGATGCCAAAATTAATTTTCTAAATTGTATTTGTGGACGAGTTATGCTTGTTTGAAAATACAACATTTTCGCAACAGATTTCTGGGTTATGCGTTTCTTTTTTTAATAGTATAATCAAATTATATTTTTTGCGCTTTGTGCAGGATATGAAGCCTGGAAAGGCGCGTTGTAAATATTCTACATTGCAAATATTCTACTTTACATGTTTCTATAAAGTGAGTATGCCATGTCACTGACTACTCATGCTGTCAAGGACAACAACTAATCTCACTCTTCAGCGCATGTGTAACGTGTTCCTGTCGAGACGTCGCATCGCGTTATGTTGAGACGTCGCATCGCGTTATGTTTTCACACTGGTACACCATTGTCCATTCCTTGTACACCCTAGTGGACAACCCTGGACACGAGTAGCTAACAAGTAGCCCATGCTTCTCCAACAGCAGATAACAATATGGATCGTTTGGTTACACCGTGCGACCTTACTGAAGGTCATTCTGACCGACGGCATTCGTCAGCAACTGGTTTACCTGACCCAGCGTCGATCAATCACAGACTGCATTGAAGGAGCTTGAATATGGCTGACTGGAGCGTGAATCAATATTCAATTACACACCGTCTGCAAACAGTCCATGACTTGACTCCTTCCTGTCCCCAACATCATCATATCGAGTTTTCCGTTTTCTCGCAATCTCCGGATATTGTATGTATGCACATAAAATGATGACGTCTTAGACACTGATGCACGCACGCACACATACCTTTTCGGAGCATCTGTTTGGAAATGCGTTTGTTGAGTGTCAATATTATGAAAGCATGAGACTGACGGAAACATCCCTGTGATATTTCTTCTATTAAGACTTGTTCATAACTAAACGCTATTAAAAAGTGGACATTATGCCATCTGGTAGCCATATCCAAGGAATCCATAGTCATATGCGTGTCGCGTTATGAAGTTTTTCTCCAAGGAAAATACAGATCTTTAGTTTGGCAGTGTCCGTTTCATTTTCAAATGTCCGATTTTCTCAGCGAGTAACTACAGGAAGGGTCTATGTTATGTTAAATTAGTTTTTAGGAACAATTCTATGATGTTTTGTGGTGACAACAGACAACACACTGAGACAGACACACAGACACAGACACACACACACACACACACACACACATATATGATTTATTTCAATGTTTGGCTGCATATTGGTCGTATATTCTCATTCGGCATATACAGTATTTTCCCAACTGAAATCATTTCAAAGTATCAGAGTAGAATCAAAAATCAATTCTAATTAATTCATTTAGACTTACTGTATTGACTGCTCTTATGGGAACTCAGTACGAACACGTCAGAGTTGAAAGTCAAACAAATCGTCATTATTAGTTAAGCCAGAGGGATCTATTGTCGATTAATCGAGGGAATGTGGTTAACAAGCCAATACTTCGAATCTTGATGATACCCTTTCTGTCAGTAGATCATAATATAATTAACGTAAATTGAAGTTAGCATCATCATCTACATGTAAGTATTGCCTACACGATGATGGCACTAAGCCGCGTCCATAGCTTTCTCCTCGGATTGATAGAATAAATACATGGTAATTTGGCCTAGAAGTTCCATTTAGAGTTCAGGTATATCGGTGACCCGATATCGCTCAATAACCATGAAATAGCCAATTTCTATTCGATGATTGACCCGCCAGAACTAGAATTAAAGAGACTAGTGAAACTGACTCATCATTTCAGTTAGATCTATGCACATAGCTTCAGAGTATACAAAGGTCAGGACACAGTCTGGGAAGAGGGTCGAGATCAAATTCCCAATTGTCAACTTCTTTTCAAATGAGCAGTATTCCTGCAGCTCCAATATTTGGTGTTCACTGGTTATTTTAGGTTTTAGGTACAATCTGGATTTAATTTCAATAAATATTTAGAATATGCTCCATATAAGTGTTGCTATTTGTTTGATCAAGGTTATAACATTCAAGTCCCCAGTAAAGCATTCGAAATGTTTGAAATACCACATGACAAAAACGACGGCAGATACAATTCACTATTTTGCCTAAAATTCAATTAGGGAAATTGAAACAACATTTCCCTGTGAGTTATAAAATGATACGTTTGATATAATGTGATAACGTTGGCCATGTGCCATGTTCAATTGAGCGAAAAAAGATTGTTGCTTAATACTGTGCCCTAAGCATCTTGGACCCGCATCATTTTTTTTTCTTCTAAACATTACACCTGACTATCGAGATAGGACTGAACTTTAGCTACAAGCACGACCGGAGTTAGAATATATCTACGCAAACCGCACAATAACTGAATTGCAAAAGGTGTCAGGTCTTGTGGTGCGACAAATTTCGTGGAACCACCCCTCGATCCGGAAGGTTGTATACACGTAAGGGTTTGTTTTGTTCCGTCTTGATTACTAACATACCACAAAGATACAGCTGGAGCTCTCCACGGACCCGATTCACACAATTCGTACGCACTGTGAGTCTACCTTAAAACTATGGACGCTTTGTGGATCGGGTTCTTCGTCAGATGTATAATGAGTTATTAGCATATTTTCCGTGGGGCCTGGGGAGTTACAACTGGACCATTTTGTATGGTGCCATTAAATGGCCAACATCATGACGACAGGGTGTCATCAAAGCACATGCCCAGGTCGACAGCACAGTGATCAAAGTCCGCGGTAGCATGGAACGCTGCTCATTATGGCAACCATTGGTGTCTGGTACAGACTGGATTATTTACAAGCCTAAGTCACATATGCATACGCATAGAGAATCAAACATATGTTCCCTAAATCTAATCATATTATTATCCACAAAAAGAAATATACCTCATAGGACAGTGACCTTTATAAAACAAGATTCTTGCTTGGATGAGTCGTTCACTGACCTTTGAAAGCCTTATAAAATATTTGTAGAGTATTTACAGCATCAAATACCACACAGTTATCTGATCAATACGCCTGGTTTTAAATCGGACAGTAAAGAAGCCTTCAAGGGATACTAAATGGTCTGAAGACCTAACATAACATCGGATCTAAATATGCCACATTCGTGAACAATGCCGGTGTTATAATTACCAGACTGGACATGATGGTAGAAGATTGTATTTACTTGTATGATAACGAGAACATACTGGTGGAATAACCGGAGCTTACTGTGAACGCTACATTTAATACATCAGTAATTACTCTGTAGAATGGACGTGTTAGGTGACCAAGAGCATCACATATTATTTTTATATCAAAGTTAGTCTAATACTCCAGACACTCCTATTACGACCAAGCTTACGACTCAGCATATACGACGTATGTTTTAAGTAATCTGGTTTCTCAGAACATTAAGTCAGTTCTCAATCGCTGTAATCTTTTTTATGTTAAGCCCCTGTATGATATTTAAAAATATGTAGGACACCTACAAACTCGGATTCGGTCAAAGGAATGCATTTGTCGAGTATCAAAAGGGCTTAAAGCGTCAAGGTTTGTTATTCTGATTTCTTATAGTTTGTTAAGAAGAGTCAGAACACGCTTTGATGTTTCTCTTCATGTATTTCCGGTACTGTTCTTCCATCTCTGATAATGAGCGTGGATAATCAGTCTCATAAATCCGCGATAATACATTCACGTATCTCCCCCTTTTTTTGGGTGGGGTGGGTTGTCAAAAGGTCGTCATCAGTTCCAGGCGTTTGGATCAATCGTAGTTCTCACAACTTTAGGGCTCATCTTTGATGTGGCGCGATACTGAACAGGTTGTGTTAGTTTTCAAGATACCTATCAGATACCTTATGACGTAATGTTTGGATGGATTTGAAATTGTAAACATCTTGCTCCTTCGCTCAAACTAAAAGTGTGTCTTGTTTCAACACTGTTTAGATTTGTTTGTTTGTTGTTTAACGCCGCACTCAGGAATATTCAACTTGAAGACGGTGGTCTGTGAATAATCGAGTCTGGACCAGACAATACAGTGATTGACACCAGGAGCATCGATCTATGCAGTTGGAATATTAAACTCTGCTTAGAATATTATGAGAACATAATAAGTTTATATATAAACGTGACTATCTTACGGATTACCTTTCGATATTGTCCTTTCGCAGTTTGTTAACTGTCAAAAAAGATCATGACATTGGTAATTTGGCACCCTTGGGAGAAGACAACTTGTATGTAAGTTGTGAAAACTTGTGCTCAATCCGTTTCCGTGTGTGTTTTACTCAAAGGCCGCGCGATATTCGTACCTCTTGATCCTTTGATCATGAATTCGCGTTCCCGTCGCTCGTGACCTTGGAGATAAGAACTATCCTTGCTGGTGAAATATATTTATTAAATGAAAAGCAACAAAAACCTTTTGACATTTGTGATGGCGACAAGTTTGAGAACAGTTTTTTGATGGCCGATATGAAACCTGTAAGGAATAATGGTTATCCTTGTAAAATATAATTACTTGATGGAGAAAACAGATAAAATAACAGGCCATAAATCGGTTTAGCTTTTGTGGTAATTTTAGAGCTGGTAATTGATTTCAGTTCATCTACTCAGGTACTTTTGTTGCTGACATTCTAACCGGACGTTCAAATCAGAAAGAACATTATGTCTGATCTGATTTCTCGTAAATACGATATGCTACCAGACTCCCTTATTTTACAATGATAGTTGTAAAATATGAAATACACAATGCCATTTAGAAAGTGGTCAAATGTAACATATGTCATATTTGGGATTACACTCTCTTAGTAAAGTACAGATTCTAGTACTAATGATATTTCTAATCTAAGATTATTAGGTCCACAGTGTCTCTTAAAACTCTATTGTCACTTTCCCCGCTTTGTCATTTGGGGTCTCTGTGTTTTAAGGGAAAAAATTCTCTTTTAGATTCGACTGAGACTCACCGTAATTCACGTTTGTGGAATTATCTTCGAACATCAACAGTCTTTGATGAATTACAGGTCGTAAGTCGATCAGAAAAGGATCTATTCTTCGATTCTTCCGCAGGACGACGAAGTTCGATTTTAAATCGGTTATGGTAGAATGGAGATAAACATACTACGCTTTCGGCTTCATATGAAATTTAGAGACTATCAATTCGGTCTAACATTCATGTCATTTCCAAACACTGAACGTTTATCTCCTAAATACAAATACCGTGTATCACCGCTAATCTGAAGCCATTAGTCGGCTTTACAGAAAGATATTTTACTTTTCTCAGTTCCCTTTGGAATCGCCGGTTACTTCAAACAACCACAATACTTTATTCAATAAATAACTATGCCTGTTCTTCGCACCACAAGAAACCACGCCTTCATAAAGAACATATTAACATGTATATGCTAGGAAAGAACCAATTTCGACTACCAACCAAAACAGAATCTATCGGGGATTATAATATAGCGAACATGAGGTACATGATGACACAAGGTGCCCGTGAAAAGGATAAGCATGTCCCATTTTGGGGGTAACATCTCTCACAAGAAAGTGTCTGTCGCGTACAGGTACACCAGCAAGTTGGCGGCAGACTCTACACAATCAAGATGTTTCCATTTGATAAAATAATGTTGTTAATGGAGCATCCATTAGTCGAGAATATGAATTAATCCAGAAAATGTGCAAGGAAAACGCTTCCGAAAGTAACTTACTGTGTCAAGGTATCGTGAGGATGTTCTATCGATCGGGATTCTTGTTTCGACTTGATCATGAGTTGCTCCAGAATGGCTTCAAAAGGAATTATGTTGAAGTTATCGCAGTAATCGGGATGTAAACTATATTTTAAATGACGGACTATTAATGGAAGATCATTGATTTCATAATGCCCTGATGATATCTTTCTCAATTCGATTCCTTTATTACCTTTATCTGTACAGATAATTGATATGTCAAATAGCAGTATTGATACAGGTTTGTTTTTTAAAAGATGGTGACAATGGACATATGAAGGAGGATGTACAATTACTGCACTCTAATTAACTCATTTCTTAATATACTAGCCTTATATAAATATTTGCCTAAGTTACATAATACTCTAACATTGTTAATACTAAGAAGTTGAATAAGCTTAAATACCGATGGACATTTGTAATAATATGGTTTGATATACATTATTCTATAATTATAATATGATGGACATTTCAATATAAAATGCAACTCATCTTCAATATCATTTTTACACATTAAACATTTACGATTAGCAAGATTTATGTTTTGGTATCTACCAGTTTCTACCGCTAAGTTATGGGAGCTGAGTCGGAATTTTGATAAATACTTCCTATAGAGATATGGAATCGATTTACGTAAATAATAATGAAGCATTTGATTGATAACATTTCTATAAATTACACATTTCGACGAGTTGGACAACTGACTAAAAATAAAGTGTATAGCCTGATCATTAATCCTTTGTTTAATAACTGATAAATAATCTGTTGATAACTCCTGCTTTAACCATATTTCACTGAAACCAATGCTTGACAGAATACATTACACCTGGTACGCCCAATTCTTAACACCACGGGTCTCCACCTCCTCATACAAATACTCATAACAACCCCGTAAAATACTATTGTCAGACACAAGAAGCTTACACCAATATTTAATCATATTATATTGTCTCTTAAATAAAAGCGGATAACGACCTAACTCTGCGTAAATCATCGAATTACATGTTGATTTCTTAACCCCTAACAACCTTTTACAAAAATCCAAATGTAACCTTCCAACATTTAATCCCTTATTATACCCCATATCTCAGACGCATAAGATGATATACTGCCGACATAACAACCAAAGACAAATAGCAGAGATTCCGGATTAAGAGAGAGCGACCTGATGTTATTGTAAATGGAAAACAAAATTGGCGACAATACCTCTCCCTGCATTAGGCACAAACTATTTCTGAAATACTTACTAATCATAATCACCGATCCTTACACATGACCTTACAATAAGATACAACGAATGAATAACTGACAATAGGTTCCTTCTAACACCTAATTTTGCTAACTTATACCATAATTAACACCTATCTATTGAATCAAAACACGTTTAAAATCCACAAATGCGCAAAGGTAACCGTTTATTATTATTATTCAAAGTACGACTAATCAATGAATGGAGCGAAAATATAGCATCGATTATGACGAAAATCAAACTGAGCATCCGAAATAGTTTTATGTTCCTCTGCCCAGTCAAGAACCATCTGATTTAAAATCCTGATCAACAACTTTCCAAAACAACTAATGAGACTTATTCCTCTATAATTGCTGGGAACACTAGCATCACCTTTCTTGAAAACAGGTATAATAACGTCTGAAGCCCAACATTTAGGGAAAAAAACCTGTGGATAGGACACAATTAAATATTTTATGTAACATGGGTAGTAGATATAAATCAAATTCAATAAAATTCTCATTTATAATGCAATCAAGTGCATGAGATTTATCACGTTTCAAACAGTTTATTGTTTGCTTTATTTCATGCAGTGTTATATTTCATTATCAGGTTCAGGTACCACCGAGTCATCCAGGTTAGAGTCAGTGGCAGATATATCTTCACCATTACCTGAAACATCTTTAACATAAGTGTACATTTCAGATAGGGGAACGTGTATGTTAGACTTCTTCCGTTTAGAAAACTTTGCGTGAAATTGTTTGGGGTTGGTTTTCTTCAACTGATCAAGTCTATTACCTTCAGATTTTAAATACTGCTTTTTACATTTCCTTCCAATGTTTTATATGTGATCTTCTTCATAAGTGATTCAGCCTGGTTATCATATGTCTTACTGTGTTTAAATTTATTAGTGAGTGAGTGAGTTAATATTTAACGTCACATCGGCAATATCTCAGCCATATCGTGACGAAAACAATTTATACAATATAAAGAGAAAACGTTTTGAAGATTAAAACCTGTCGACGATGGACAGTAAAAATAATAGAGAATCACAGATATGAATAAAACTAGCGAGCAAAGCTAAAACATTTCAATTAAAGAGGACAATACAGTATAAAACACGGGCTATAGATCGCCAACAACTGAAGGTAGATCACCATACTAGGAACTTTAAATTTATTAAGCGAACGAACATAATCCATGTAGCAGGTTTTCAAAGAATCATCAAACCACGGCTTGTTGCTGATCCGGGCCGAGGTGCATGGCTTGCTGGTGTCTCGGCCATGACGTGTGATTGTAGTTGGTGTCACGTGACCCTTGTCTATTGCATGTTTTGAAGAACGGTGACATGACATCAGTAAGGATAGTTGTGAAGTTGTTAATACACCTAAACATACGATGCTGGGATGTAATGTTATCATCGATAAAACAGTTTTCTCTTACTTACTCTCTGTTAAGATTCGATTCGCCAACGATAATTGACATGTGGCTAGCATTGAACTTGGCTGGTGGCGTACATTTCAGATGTAGGTCGGAGTCTTGTTGACATTTTGACATGTAAGTGGACGTGGTCCGAAACCGTGGTGAAAATGCTTACTATAAGTGATGGAAACATATCAAATATGGCTGGATCACTGATTAGATAGTCAAACCACGGGAACAGTTAAAAGTAAAATCATTTGCCATGTTATTTGAATGCCGTTCATTCATAATTCTGAGACCAGATGATTTGCACAACATTAGCAGTTTATTACCGAATTCGTTTCGACCAGTATCCGGGTTAACGCGGGCTTGCACTTCCGAGTCATTGGTGTAGGATGCTATGTTTACTAGCTGATCTGTTCCAGTAAAGTGTAGCCTGTCGTCGGTGATGAATATGGTCCAGTTTGGGCTGGGTGCGACTGTTCAAGTCTCCTACTAAGAAGACTTTGCCAATTGACACATATTTTGATACTTGATCTTCGATTTCCTGGAAGAGATCACAGTCATAGTGCTTATAGAAGGTTGATCTTGCAGGTGGTAGATTCACAACTGCACAATACACATCTTCATTACACACAGTTATGGACCTGTCAAATCTTAAGCACACAATTGAATCATGTTTTTGGCATATCTCTGTACCAGTGATCCCTTTGCACAATGAATCTTTGATCAGCACTATAATTCCACCTCCTTGCTTTGACTTTGTTTTATTCTAGGCACTACATATGACTTATAACCGGGTACATCAAGTTCAAACGAATTGTCAATACAGCATTCAGACAAGAAGACAATGTCGTAGGTGGAAAGAACATTATTAAACGATTTATCATGCCGCTTATTTTGAAAGCCACCATTTATGTTCCATGAAATTCAACTTATCTTCTCGGAGAGTACATCCTCCAGAGACTCACGTAATCTACACAAAGAGCAAACTGTGTCCAAGCACTTTAACGCCACACGTCAAAAGTTAGTGTATATGTTTAAACAAATCAGTTAATACTGAAACGTGTACGAGTAGTGAACAATCCTTTGAAATGTAACCCATCTGCACAAATAGTCGAAATGCATTAAATATCGATTTCAAACGCAACAGAAAATGGCTCCGATGATGCACCACTACAATGTAACAGGAAACATCAATAAACATATATTAGATGTTTTTTATTTTTAATGTATCCATTTTGAAAAGTGTGTTTTCTATTTCTATGAGAAATCAGAATTGTAAAAGATGACAGTTTAGCTTGCGAGAATACCAGTTATGAGAGAATGTTGATCTTATTGATGAGGGGGCGGTGGGGTAGCCTAGTGGTTAAAGCGTTGGCTCGTCACGCCGAAGACCCGGGTTCGATTACCCACATGGGCACAATGTGTTAAGCGCATTTCTGCCGTCCCCCTCCGTGATATTGCTGGAATATTGCTAAAAGCGGCGTAAAACTAAACTCAGTCAGTCAGTCTTATTGATGTTGTTTGATGCTGTATTCATGATGTAACTCAACGTCTACGGAATGTAGTTCAGCAAGACAGACGTGATACTTCTACAGTTGATATGTGTAGGCTGAGGCAAACGTCTCCTGCTGGGACATTCCCCAATAGCTTCAAAGGAAATCTTGTTGATGCAAACTTGGTCCCTACGTAAATGAGTGTTCAACCGTAATTTGAAATGACGTTCAAACAAACACAAGTATGTATTTATACTTTTGTGATGACATGTCAGCAAGTTTTTCTTTTCTTTCTGTTTGTGCTCACGTTCGTTTTCTAAACTTT